CCCAGAGGGAGGGGGGGCAGTGTTGGTTTTAATTTTTTTACATTCTCTATTTTTTTACTTTTTTATCACTTGTACAGAACGAGCGGCGGCTTCCCCGCTGTACATTTAGCTCTGCTTGTCCAAAGCAAGGCTAAATATAGAAAACAACTACCCGCCCGGCACCCAGAACTGCATGTCCCGTTTGTCGGGAGATAGGAATTCCACACCCCTGCTGCCCCTCTACTTCCTGCTGCCCCAAGGCCAGGCCTCGGTTGGCCTTGTGGGAAATCAGGGCCCTGACTGTAACCCTCTGCAAAAGGCCAACTCCATAAAGGCAAGATTTGATGAGTTTGTCGTAGAAGAACTTGACTGATCTTAACAGTGCCTTGACCCCAACCCCAGCGCAACATATTTGGGATGAGTTGAGGTGCCAATTGCATGGCAGGCCTTCTTGTCCAACATCAGTACCTGACCTCAGATAGGCAAAAAATCTCACAGACACCCTCCTAAATCATGTGAAGAGTAGAAACTGTTCGAGCTGAAAAGGAGTGCCCAACTTCATGTTAAAGCCCACGGTATGAGTTTGGAATGTCTAACAAGCTCATGTAGATGTGATCATCAGGGGTATGCACTATTTTTTGACCATATAATGTATGTTTTATTCATTGTAGGTGGAAGATCCAAAAATAAAGACTTTAAAAATAAGAATAGAAATGTAATTGTTGTAGCTTCATCAATTTGATAGAAGCCAATAGAGTAGGTTGGGGCAATGGACATGGAAGTAACAGCGGTAACTATTCCCTGTTATGTCACCCTAGGTGACAATAACAATGCAAGTGGATGTACACTTTTCAGTTGGTCTGTAAACTCTTTTAAATCTCACAACATAATTTGAGTCTGTGGCCCCGGAAAAGGGAGGTTTAGGCAGAAACATATCCAGTCTTTTATTTTTTTTGGTTATCTTAGAGTTAGTAAGAATTAGCTCCTGAAGGTTATTATACATTTTCCCAGCTCTTACTGTAAAGTAGCCTTTCTATACATGGAGGTTCAAGCTATTTTCCTCCAGGTGTAAAAAAAAATGTGCTCCTCTTCTTTTGAGTTGACCTTAAAGTGAACAGCCTTGCACCAAGTTTACAGTGTGGACCATGTATCTTGAGTACATATAATGGTTATAATATCCACCTCCATTGTCTCTTATAAAGGGAGATCAGGTTCAAATAATCTTTCCTTATAGTCGAGGTCCTCTTCAACCCTTCTTTCCTCAATTTTCACTACTGCAACATATTTTGGTGAACTGCTGCCTGGAAATAAGCTGCAAATTTAAGATAAGGCCTTGTGTAATGCTTTGTACTGGGACAAATTATATCTATTTCTCTAGAGTCATTTTTTGCTCCAAGAAATGATCTTGCTCCCTCTGAAAGCTGCTAATTGGCATTGGGTGCTATTAAGTCTATGATGTACCAGGACAACTAGAACTGTTTCCCATGTTATGTATCAAAGCTAAGACTGCAGACATTTGGAGGTGTGATTTATCTGATCTTTTTTTTTGCGTTTAGGAGGGAGAGTCCATTGTCAATGCTGATTGCAGTCAACAATGCAAGTGCCAAGCTGGTGGCGTGACCTGCACAGCCATGTCATGCACAGATAAAGAACGTTGTGGCCTGGTGAATGGAGTGCGAGGTTGCTACAAATCGGAGGCTGAATGCTCACTCAGCCCACAGAAGTTTGTCACATTCGATGGGCTCTCAGGTGGACCCATTGGAATTGGTCCAGTGGAGGTGACCTCCTTATGTAACAGCGATTCATCCGAATGGTTCAGAGTTCTTGCTGACATTCAGAGCTGCGCAGGAGTGCCAGCATCTGTTACCAGGGTCCATATTTTCCTCAATGGAGGTCTAGTCACCATCTCTAAGAGCAAGGAAGTCTGGGTAAGTCAACTTCTGTATGTCTATGTATAAAACATGACTGAAAGCTCATATATGTTTCAGTTGTCCCCCGTTGAACCATCTGCTAGTAAAGAACTGTTTTAGGCGTTTGTGTGGTTTTTTTTTCATAGGGTAAAATAGATTTGTCACAGTTGTAGTTTTTAACCTGTAGGTTCCTTATCCGGGAATGCAACTCTATCCAAAACTATTTCGAGTTTTGTGTTTAGAGTTGGAAGAGTTAAACCTCTTTTAGGTTTTTATTGCTTTTTTTTTAATGTTTTTCACATTTTCTTTTGCATTCTCAGAGTTCACGGATCAGTGTAGTTATACACTTTTTTTTGGCCCTGAAGAAGAGGCTGGTTTCAATGCCCAATGTCACGTTGAGTTTTATGCATAAGGCAGACCTTCTAATATGTTTCCAAGCACTTTGATTGGTGGTTTTAATATAAACATTCATGGCCGTTACCTTCCAAATGTTTACTGACTTCCAAAGTTAACTTTGGCCCAGGAGCTGCCTGGTCATCAGGATCCTAGGCCAATTCCTTTTCCTTTAAGATACAACATCATTATATTGGTTCCAGTGCCATCACCTACTGTATATCCACCGGGAGATTTTCCCTCAGTTCCTGCCCCTAACTATAGAATGTCCCTGTCTTGTACCATCTGTACTAATGATGACCATTAAATCCCAGTGGCAATGATCATGAGGTTTAATCCCTAAGATGCCTACTCACACCCCATTTTCATGACAGCTCTAAAATGTTCCAACCCCTCTCACTTTTTTTCCCCAGTGGCAAAGGTCATCAGCACAAAAAGTGAGATTAGATGTCCCATATGAGGACACAGGCACCAATGAAAACCCAACATATGTTCTAAACCTTCCAACTCTGTCTGCTCTCTGTAAATGGGGAAAAACATTTTGGGGTTTCTTCTTTAAGCCAACTACACTGATACACCAACTATATCAATGTAAATTTTCATGAGTGTAAGTTTTTCTAACCAGATCTGCAGTTGTCTTCCTTATATAAATAGATCGCTTCATGTGCTTTCTAGTAGCCATTAGAAATTGTTTGCACATACATGGAAGCATTATTCAATTTCTGTCAGGATACCGTGCGTGGGTGTCCCCACACCGCATGCTGGTACCCACATGGGAGGACCAAATGCGTAACCACACCAGACAATGTCTATGAACTTATGAATGTAGACACACCGACATCAAATAAACACAAACAACCCCACCAACACCCACAAGTAACCACAAACAAGTAATAATAGCTAACTAAATGCAAATGTAATCACAGACAAGAGGGCAAGTGAAACCTGGGGAGCAGGTCAACACAAGGGGAACAATGGTCAGGGTACAAGGGGGCACCAGGATGCAGGAAACAGGTCACAGGAATCAGGTCACAGGAATCAGGTCACAGGAAACAGGTCACAGGAAACAGGATACAGGAATTGGCAACAATACTGTGGCAAAATCCCCAGTTCCGGGAGGGATTAAAATACCCTCCCAGGTAACACCAGGTGGTGATTAATTACAGAGCCACCTGCAGGTGAGCCCTGGAGCTGTAGGCCCTGGTTCTAGTGTCACAGCGCAACCTGGAGGTGCTCAAGTCCCAGACAGCCACTGACTGCCCAGAGACACCTGCAGGTGAGCACTAGAACTGCAGGATCTGCTCCAGCTCCACGGTGCCACCTGGAGGTGTCCTGGTCCCTGACAATTTCAATGGGTTGAGTGCTGATAGTCATTGAAAAAAGCCATTGCATCCTAGCAAAACTGCCATCCTAGCAAAACTGCTTCCTCCTCTATTAGCTGTAATATTTGAAATGTTATCTCCTTGCATTTTCTAGGTGAATGGACGCCCAGCTGTTTTCCCCTTCACTTCGGGTATTGTCTCAGCTTCTGCCAAGGATAGCTCGGTTTCCGTCCAGATTGGTGTAAACTTGAAGATCGAGTTAAGCACCGCGGGCAGCCTCTCAGTCCGTGTGTTAGACAGCCTGTCAGAGTTGGTGTGCGGGGCGTGCGGAAACTTCAACGGTAACACTTCCGATGACCTCACATCCCCAACTGGAAAGGTGGTCACTAACATTGTGGAACTCATAAAATCATGGACAGCCCGTGACCTCAGCAGCTGGTGAGTGAAACTTTGTGAACATTCTTTTTAAAGGAATTTAAAGCTGTACATGTTACAAAGAACATATCAACAAAAAGAGAAAGTTGGTCAGAGAGAGACTTGTAGTCTTGCACACCATATCCCATACATTTGTCAAAGATAAGGTAAAGAAAGAAAAGGGGAAATGCATGGGATGCATTAAATACAGTCAGACATACAGTATGTTACAAATTTGAAACAATTGTCAACAATTTATCCAAAGTCTAGATAAAGGTCTTTTATGAATCTTTGGGGGGAAACCACACTGTTTTTTGCATTTAAATAAAGGAACAGTATAATGTCTTCTTAAACAATGTTTATGGTCCCTTTTGGGAACAAAACCATGTGGGGTACCTCTATAATTCAGTAAAGATCCATATCCAGGTATGCAGCCTGGGTGGCCATGAAAGAGGGGCAGTAAGCGTGCAGCCCCCCCCCCCCTCCTGAACCATGCCAGGCCACAAGCCCTTAACCTTGGGAGGTACCTTGCAATCGGGGGGCAGCAGGGCCGTCCCTATAATGAGGTTGTTGCTTTAGGCGGCATCTCTTTGGTTCATGTGGGGGGGGGGTGGCATGGCCGCTCTGCTGCACAATGTTTGCAGTGTGCCTTCGGCCCCTTAGCATCCCAGGTTGCTAAGAACTGGGCAGGGACATGTATGAGGGTCACGCATCTCCCCACACAGTTCTTAGCAACCTGGGATGCTGTGGCTGGAGTCCAGCCCAGCTCCTGGAAACCAGTTACCTCAGTGAGCTGGGCGGGACACCTGCCAGAGGCGGAGTCAGATCTGGGCAGTGAGATGATCTGAGCCACTCCCCTCCCATGCCTATAGTGTGCTCCAACAGCTCAACCTGTACCCACCCCCCACCCCAGCCCCGCAGGTGGTAAAAAGGCTAAGGACACCTCTGAGTGGTGGAATAACCTCCCCTTCCTTGTAAAGTGACGTGTCTCCATGCTGATGGGGACAAGAGACCCATCACAACATCATGTCCCCCAAAGGGGATTTTGGGTTCTGCAGGAGAAGAATTATTAGAATCTGGCATCTCCTTTAGTATAGGGCCAGTTTGTATGCTTGTTCACCAAAGTGTCAACAGGTCGAGTACAGGCTGAACTCAAGTTCAACCCAAACCCGAAGCTCACCCCTACATATAAGACTTTTTCTCCTTCTGCTGTAAGGCAACATCCACACCTTTTATATCAAACAATCCACTTTAGAAGATCAATCCTATACAGGACCCACACCATTCTCTGTATAACCTTACTGGTGCCGGGCCCTAATTTGCAGCTTGGTTACAGAGAAGTGGAGTATGTCAGACTGGACACTATTTTCTCCGACCAGCTTGACTTAGGTCCCATCTTCTGTATCCCAACTGTAGGACTCATAAAGGGTAGGTGCTATGAAATTAGATAATAGAACAGAAGATCACCAGCACTCCACGGTTGAGTGCTGGTGATCTTCTGTTCTATGACTTGGCGGAACACGGCGCCATCAGTGTTATCACTGCGAGCACCACGAATAATAACATAAAGGTAAACACGCTGCATGGAGTGCACGTGACTCACCACAATGCTTTATGAAATATGATAATTCTCTAAAAAAATATAAAGTATCTAATTTACAATATACACTATTATATTTATTGGTGTGTGCCTCATTGATGAATATATCCATCTAATTCTTCCTCTTACTAGACAATTATTTTTTTGGGATGTAAGAATTTAAATGTCACAATCTGGGATGAGGCTCGGAGTCCAGCAGCTGAAACAGCAGGCAATTCGTAGTATAACAGGCCGAGTTCGGTACACAAGCAGACGGTAGTAGTGGAGGAGCAGGCAGAAGCGTAGTCAGCAAACAAGCCGAGGTCAGGAGCCAAAAGGTATCAGGTATGAAGCGGAAGACGATGAGAGTAGTCGGTGAATCAGCAACCAAAGGTCGGTACACAGGTAGCAGTATGAGTAGATTGTATCACAGAGGGAGCAGGAAGCAAGATAATGGCAGGAGCACAATAATCTGGCAAACAGAAAATGCAGAGGCGTGGCTTAAATAGGAAGTTTAAGGGAGGAGCAAGGAGTTCAGAGTACAGCAGAAACTAGGTTTACCTGAGTATACGCAGGAGATCAGGCTAGAAGCTATCTAAGGTTCTAAGGTGGCTCAGCAGGTAGAACCACCGCCAGCTACAACAGCGGTCCTGGGTTCAGATCCGGTTCCTGACATTGAATATACAACTCATATTTTCTTTTCTATCTCTTGTAGCAACGCATAAAACAAGACGACTATGCCTGACAAATGTAGTATTCAAACTACAATGGACACGCCCAAGAGGATCTCCATGAATGCAAATGTGCTTTTACCGGGTTAAATGAAGGTGTTTTTTGTTTGTTTTTTTAAGAAATAAATATCTGCACTTCATTGAAGACTTCTGTAATTGTATCAAACTCTGTAAAATAATTCATGCTTTTTAAAACTGTTATGATTTCTGGTTTTCTGACTATTAAACCTAAAAAACTATTTTATTTTTTCTAAGTTGAAATAAATACTTGCATCTTTAGTTAATGTGGTATGAATGCCCCAGCTGCATCTAAGAACTTTAAACTGCTTAAATTGATGATAAACTCAGGAGTTAAACCTTAAAAATACATTCCAGTACCTGAACCATGAACAACAATGTATCTTATTTGTGTATCACTCGGCTGTAGATCATCCAATCATCTCTGACACTGTCCTTCCTTCTGGAGGAGGGGCTACGTTTGTTCCCCATGATCCCTGTATGTTTTGTAAAGTAGTCACTGCTCCAAGCTCACTCCCGGGATAGACTACAATCTAAATACAAATTAGTAAACTAAACATGAGATTGTAGTCCATCCCGGGAGTGAGCTTGGATCGGTGACTACAACACACACGGGGACCATGGGGAACAGACGTAGCCCCCCTCCAGAAGGAAGGACATTGTCAGTACCAATTCAGAGATGATTGGAGGATCTACAGCCGAGTGATACACAAATAACATACACTGTTGTCCATAGTTCAGGAACTTGAATGTATTTTTAAGATTTATCTCCGGAGTTTAGTGTCACTTTAAGTGTAGATAAGTATCACAGGAAATGCGCTTTGTTAATGTATAGAGTCACTGCCGTTTTCTCTTCTTGTAGAACACTGCAGCTATTCTTTGTAATCAAAAATATATTGCGGAAGTGAAACATCTTTTGTCTATACAAAGTACATTTGTGTTTTATTCATTCTGCCAGCACGTGACATTGTCTGCCCAAAAATAAAGCTTTGAAGAACATTTTGATTTTCACGTTTCGTTCTCTGGCAATAGAAGTAAAGTAATCCACCATGGTAAACCATGTGAAAGCTATAGACCAGGGGTCCCTTAGACTGTTCTAGTGGACATTCAGAATCAGTATGATGTTCCTAGTGAACCAGATCAACCACCACCCAGATTGTTGTTCCATTCCTAAACCTTGATAAAGGAGAACCCCCAAAATTGTTGACCTTTCATATTGAATTCAACACCAAATGAAAAATCTGATTTGGACAAAAACTCTTAAGCTGGAACACTTTGCCTTGCTTTTCTACTACATCGCTGGTCTATAGCAATGTGTGGGAGGTGGTGGGGCAAGTTTTGATATTGATGCTTAGCACCCAGTAAGCACCCATAAGGACCCAGTATTTGGATGGCCAGACAAAGAAGCTAAGGAGACACCCAGGTAAGGAGATGTGAAATTGATAAACAGCTGTGGGACAAAATATGGACTACTCGAAAACCTAGACCAGAGTTATCCAAACTCCAGCCCTCCAGCTGTGGTGCAACTACAAATCCCATAATGCATCTGCTTTTAGGAGTCATGCCCGTGGATGTCAGAGTCTTGCAATTGGGATTAGGATTGGGATTTATAGTTGCACCACAGCTGGAGGGCCGGAGTTTGCCTACCCCTGACGTAGACCAAAGTATTTTTAGTCCGTCAACAAACTGCATTGCCTTTATTTTAAAAAGCTTTAAAGGAGAACTATGGGGTAAGTTATTTACACTCACCCTCATAGTAAGAGCCGACATGTGACATTGAAGCTGTCACACATCGACTCTACAGATCGGGAAGTTAGCAAGCCCATACCGTCCACATCAATAGCACCCCCTGACCTCAATGAGCGTGTGGGGGGATTTCAGGGGCAGGGTAGGCTGACATTTCACCTCAGGGATGAGTCCTTAGCCGGTTGTGGGCCGTGAAAGTAAAGTTGGGTGCCAGTCACTTTAAGGATTTTCTAATGTTTTATTCTGTAAGTGACACATATGGAAAGAGGGCTTCAGACATCTAGGACAGTACAGAATAATAGACTCACCGACTACTTCCCAGCTTCACAGTTCAGAGGACCTTTAATCCGATGGCAATAACACAGTGTATGGAAGAATATATACTGATCAGCAGATCTAGTACAGAATTCCCAAGGCGAGACACCAGACTTCCTGAGAGGTCCAAGTCCATCCTGGCTTCTCTGGTACCTCCAGCAGACAAAGTTCCTCCCTGGCTCTCCATCCCAGAAACAGATTTAGACCCCAACTGGGTCTATACCTGACCACCTGTAGGCTGCAGATCTGGTCAAACAGCACATCACATCACACACCCTCCCCCAGGCAGGAGCCCCGGGGGAAGAAGATACACTCACAAGGGCAACCCTGAATATTTACGTCCTCCACAGCATGCACCACTGTCCATGAACCTCCTAGTGATAGGCTAGGGAGACACATATATTCATAACACCACATTTTTGGATCCTCTACACTATTGCAAGGTCACACCCAGCAGCAGGCAGATGCAAACAATAACAGAGAGCTTAAGGAGAACCAAATGAGCACAGACTGTCAAAAAAGCTAGACTAGATACAGTCTAGTAGAACTAAATGTAAGGAATCACCCCATTTAGGGCAAGGTGGCTACACACATTTTTATATTTCAACCAAACATTGGATGACGGCACAACCCACCCTTAGACTCAAACTTATTTATTGTATAAAAACATATATGTATGCAGGCTGCAAGATTCTAACGCTTTCTTTCACGCTAAATAATGCTTACCCATAGAGTGATCTCCTAGAAAATGAACCTCCATACAGAAACTCCTCCGTTTCCTTCCAGGAGGACAAGCTGGAGCCTCCAGTGTGGTCTTCACATCATGTTTAACCATGTATACAATTTGCAAAAAAACACAAAAAGGCAAAACAAATCTTGAGAACTTATTTTATCCCATTTTGTAAATTGTGGAATTCAAGGATCTTCTGTGGATTTTGATGGGAAACCTCACACACAAAAAAAGAACTCTATCTCCACATCCATTTCAGATCTATATCCAGGCATCCCAGATTTCACTATAAGTCCCCCAATATAACCCCAACCTTCTTCTTGGGGCATCAGAGTTAGGAAAGAGGCCCTTGTCCAACATCAACATCTGAATAAGGGTGCCTTTCAAGGTACACCCCCAATGTTAAAAGGCATGTGGCCTGGCCTGGTACAGGGAGGACCACACACTGGCTGCCCTGTTTTTCCTGGCCACCGAAACTGCATGCCTGGATAAGGGTCTGGGTGGTATTTTATGGGAATACCATGCATTTTCCGCCCTTTTAAAAAGAAATGTGTACTGTTGCTTTCATCTTTAAACGTTATCTGACTCTTCTAATGTTTTCAAGCTGATATTTGTTGAAAATGGGCCCTTGAAAAGTCCATTTCTATAAGGAGCACCCCATGGCTCCATTACAGTGGATGAAGACCAATCTGATTAAATACACTGGAGTAAGGTCACCTTTAGTCCCAGTTTCCTAGGGGCAGTCCCTGTTTTGAGAGGTCACCCCCCAGCGGCATTAAATTGCAGTCATATACAGCCAGTTTTGTACATGCTGTGATGGCTGCCTGTAGGACTCTGCATCTCTTACTATTGACCCCTGAACCCAGTGTTACTTACTACTGAACCTGAACAATGTCACTAACTACTGACCTCTGAACTCAGCGTTACTTACTACTGACGCCTGAACCCTGCGTTACTACTGAACCCTGCGTTCAGTAGGGTACTACTGAGCTCTGAACGCTCTGTTACTTGCTATTGTCCCCTACTAATGACCCCTGTAATCCACACATTACCTACTGATGACCCCTGTACTCCATACATTACTTACTTGTGACCCCTGTACGCCATACATTACCTACTGATGTCCCCTGTACTACATGTATTCCCAAATTATGACCCCTGTGCTCCATGCATTACTAACTGATGAGCCCTGTACTCTATGCATTACCTACTCATAACCCCTGTACTCCATGTGTTAGCTACTGATGACCCCTGTACTCCATGTGTTACCTACTAATGACCCTTGTACTCCATGTTTTACCTACTCGTGACCCCTGCACTCCATGCGTTACTTACTTGTGACCCCTGCACTCCATGCGTTACTTACTCGTGACCCCTGTACTCCATGAGTTACCTATTGATGACATCTGTACTCCATGCATGACCTACTCATAACCCCTGTACCCCATATGTTACCTACTAGTGACCCCTGTACTCCATGTGTTACTTACTCGTGACCGGTGTACTCCATGAGTTACCTACTGATGACCCCTGTACTCCATGCATTACTTACTTGTGACCCCTGTACGCATGCATTACTTGCTTGTGACCCCTGTACTCCATGCATTACTTGCTTGTGACCCCTGTACTCCATGCATTATCTACTCATAGTCCCTGTACTCCATGCTTTCCCAATTGATGACCCCTGTACTTTTACATAGTTATATAGTTAGTCAGGTTGAAAAAAGACACAAGTCCATCGAGTTCAACCTCTATGCATTACCTACTGATGACCTCTGTACTTCATGCATTACCTACTGATGACCTCTGTACTTCATGTGTTTCTTGCTCCTTCCTTCCTAGCTCCCTCATGTGCCCCATAGGAGGTGCCTGGACCAGAGTGACTTCACATTCTGGCTCCCGGCACCTCAACAGGGCGCGCAAGGGGAGCTGTACAAGCAAAGCATGTATGGATGGACCTCCGTCACAGCACAACAGTCCACACTGGACCCCAGGCTGAGGATCCACTCCAGTTTTCGTAAGGTAGGGAGTTCGGGTGGACCTTAAAAAAAAAGTCTGTGTGTGTGTGTGAGAGAGATTGTGTCTGTGGTTGTGTATGTATTTCAGTGTTTTTGAGGGCCCATTCACACTAGTACAGTGCATTATTCACACATTACCGTTTGATTAACTCACTGTACCATGCAATCGCACTTACCGTGCATTCTGATGTGAGAGGGGGGGTGTTGCGTTACAATTCATTTGAATGGTACCCGACTTGCGTTGTGACTTAATGACCAAGGACAAATGTGGGTCCTGAGGTTATACAGGTTGAGAACCACTGGTCTAGATCTAGCAACCATGTAGTGCTACGGCCAGCCTGAATTTTTACAGATTGATTAAATAAATATATTATATTATATTATATATATTAAATACGTTTTGGTTTTTTTTTTGGATTTGGATAGAGTGCTGAAGGGTTTATTACTGCTGTCAGGTTAACTCTTTCTATTTGTCCTGATTGCTAGTGTCACCGGGAAAGAAAGTTGCCACCAGAACAGGAAAATGAGTGGGGAAATCTTCCAATGGGGACACTTGTTCCAGAGACAACTGTGCTAAAAAATAATTTCCCCCCCTCCCCCTCCCACCATACACAGATATTCCCTCAATTTCTGTTAAGTCTAGAGGACAGGAAGTAAAGATAAATATCCCTTATGAGACACAAATGGCAGCAAAAAATACTATAGCAGATTTAAACGTACCCCGCTCTACCCAAAATGAAGACAATGGCTTTAGGTGGGTGCTTCTAATACATACTTTTTTGGTTAATCTTAAAGGAGAACTATGAGGTGAGTGCTTTTCATAGTTCTAGCCGAACCTGTGACAATGAGACTGTCACAGGTCGGCTCAGTAGATCGGGAGGTGAGTGAACACATACCGGCGTTCGCTCACCTCTCGATCCTGTCACGGCTCTCTGCTGTAACAGGGGAGGGGCTGGATTCCCCCCTCCCCGCTCAATCCTCCAGCGCTGACTGGCGGAAAGGACGGGGGAGGGGGCGGGTACAGCTGGCTCTGCCTCTAGATAGGCAGAGCCAGCTGTCACTCACGCAGGTGGGCGGATCTCGACATCGATGTCGGGATCCGCTCTGGCTGCGGCGTCTCAGTATACCGCGAGCTGTAGCTCCCTATATACTGAGCTTAGGGTGACGGGAGGACGCTAGTTTGTGTCCTCCCGTTACACTAAGGAGAACTATGGGGAAAAGCCTTAACCCCATAGTTCTCCTTTAAGCTTATTGAGTGAAGATTTTACAATGTGTGTGAGCTTTATCTTTAAACTACATTTTTATATTTATTGAAAGGTATCTTAGAGCGTACTTCACAGCTGTTCATACATAACGACTAAAAGTTTGGCCTCTTTGTCGGCCATATTAAATCTCTCGAGCACTGGCTGAGTGTGCAGTTGTCCCTCTCAGGGACTGAGACGGTTAATCAGCGACATTAATTAGGGATCTCTTAAAAGCTCCACAATCAGCCTCTCCCAGCTAGGAGGTCTTTTGTCTCTGTCCACACAGGGTTGCTGGAGTGGAAGTGTGTTTTGTCTGTGGTATGTGGGCAATAGCTGGCTTCAACTGAGGTAACAAACTATGCTTTTTTTTGGGCTTTGTTTTTAGTTATTTTTGTGTAAAAGCCACTTTTTTTTTTTGTATCTTAAGTGTGAATTGTAATGTTTAAGTGTGTTTGGCAGAGGAAACAATAGTATTGCTGTGTTCAGGCTAAAACTGGCCATACACTTTACAACCATCGCAAGACTTTGTCTTGTGATGGTTGTAAGCTAATTAAACTCGTATGATCTGCCCATCTTAGACAGGCAGATTGTACTTGCGATCATCGCAAGCCTGCTCTGCTGAGGGGAGGGCTTCCAATGACTGCAACGCTGAGCGGGCACTGTGCACACTGACCCGTTTGGCATTTTGTCGCCTGAAAATGCCACTGATCTGCCGAAAATTGTATGATTCTCAGCGGGTTTTCAAGCCTGCTCGGGAGACAAAAGATGTGCAGCCGTACAGTAGAAACAGTTGCATGCTTTCCATACACCTGCTGATTATCATATGATTGTGTGATTTCCTGTGATTATCGGCAGGTGTATGGCCACCTTAAGAGTTTCTGATAATTGGTGCATTGTGGGTTTTTTTTTTTTGTTATAAATTACAAATATTTTGTTTTTTAGTTTTAAAATTAATTTTATTCTGATATTTTTTTAATTAATTTTATATTTTAATTAAAGGGGGTGGGGCATTTAAAATGTATGTATGAAATTATTATTTTTTTAAAAAAAATTTCTTAATTTGTGCCTACATGTTAAATCTTTTCAGCCCCCTAATCCCTTTTTGATATGGGTCATTTTGCTATGCAGTTATAAGACTGCTTAGTTCTTCAGATGACACATTTGACCTGTTCAGTGCTCCAGCACAAGGAGTTCTCAAGTTGTGGATTCTCTTGTAATGCCCAGCTGTGTTCTGATGGCCCTCTCAGCAGGGCTGTACCTGTATACTCCTATGAATATTTTATTGAGCTCTGGTGTGTAGGTTTTTTGCTATAGCGCATAAGATTCAAACTCTACACCTAATCTGTAATCATGCATTCTTCATTGCAAATCACCTCAAGGTCAACCCCACTAAATGTCTTTAGATCTCCCCCTACTGGTGAGCACAGAGTGGTGGCAGCTCTGTTCTGTGCAGATAGCTAGAGATATATAAATATTAATATTGTTTTTTAAATTTAAGATATATCTTGTGTAAGGTTTCTGAAATCAAACTTGCAATGCTACTATTGAAGACTCTAGTCTATTATCGTTCCTACCTACCTATTTCGCCCCTCTCCATATTCATCTGAAAAATGTACCAACCTACATGAAGTTGTCTGTGCTCAAGCTGTGGAGATTCATCCTCTGTCCTGGTTGTGACTTCTGATACTGGGCTATCGGCTATGGAAACTCCCAAATTTGATAGCTGGCACAGGAATAGAGGGGAATGTTTCTCAATGGGGGCAGCTGTTCTTGGGACAACTAAATAAGCTATTCCCTCACTTTTGTTGCTAAAACATCTTAGCTGACTCGGCTTCAACAATCTGAAATCTGATGGCCACTGTTTTTCCCAATTTTACCAAATTTTTTATACCAGGAACTTTTTCTTTTTCAGCAATGGGTTTCCAGCTACTTCTGCACATCTGTGCCCTAATGTGCTTCAGTGGTAAGTAATTGTGCTTGCATTAAAGTCGGGTCGGTGAGGAATGCAGTTGAGGAATGCCAAAGCCTTAGAAGATCAACATCAAAACTTGATTGAAATCGATTCTAAGCAGCAAATGAGAATTTTATTTTATTGTTTTTTTGGGACAAGGTTAGAACTAACTAGTTGACAAAGGTTCCAGTTGTAATAAAGGCCCACCATGTAGCTGGCACTCCTCGTCCACTCTGTGCCAGTTGCTGATACCCCAGTGGAGCTGACTCAGAATACATGAGTAGCCAGAACATTTGGGAATGTTTAGAACACTGTTGTGTGGGGGGGTGGGGTTTTTTTGTTTTTTTGCGGCATTTTACAGATATTGGGTCCTGCTCAGGTAAAATTTGCTTAGGGTGGGGGAGAAAAACGAAATCTTCCTTTATGAAAACTGCAATGTTGCTTTGCAAACCTTGTCCACACTCTTAGCAAACAATCATTGAATAGATGGCTGTGGAAAGTTGGGGTGTCAACAGCATAGTTGACCTGACCAAAACATGGGTCAGATCCCCCTACTTGATGAGCATTTCTTACAGATTAAGCACTCCATGAGTAACCCCATTTGCTCTGTTTTTTTCTTTTCAGGATTTTGTCTGGCAGGGCCACTGGGCAAGGAATTTGTCACTGCCTTTATGCAAAACTATCAGCTCTCCTACAGCTCTGCCAACTTCAGGTTGTTCATTACTGCCTATTCCGCCTCAACAAACGTTACCATATGGATGAATAACTCTAGCTTCAGAAAAGTCCAGACAATAAATGAACAGACCACGGCCATAGTTCAAATCCCAGCTAATGCAGAGTTGCCTGGTGTTGGGATGTCGGGCAAAGCTATTGTCATCAAGGCCGATAAAAACATTTCAGTCCTGGCTATGAATTACAAGTTTGAGTGCTGATACCAGCATCGTGTACCCTGTGCAAGATCTTGGCATGGACTACTATGTGGTGACACCTTTTTAATGGTCCAGTGGATTCATTTAGGGAATTTTCTGTAGTCAGCTACCAGGAATCCACCAGTGTTGATATCTTCCTCAAAGGAGCAGTCGCCTATAAAGAAAATCTCTACCCAGCTGGAAGCAAGCTTAGTGTTGTCCTAGAACCTTATAGTGCTCTTCAGCTTCTTAGTAAAGATGACCTGTCTGGAACCAGAATCGTGTCTCAGAAGCCGGTGTCCGTTTTGAGTGGACACACATGCTCATGGAAGAACACTAGGTGCAACCATGTATATGAGCAGCTTTTGCCGGTGACTAGCTGGGGTTCCAGTTTCATTATACCTCCAGTATTCCTGCAGACAATGTCTGATATTGTATTCGTGGTGGCTTCTTCAGATGACACAAGGATTGAATACCAAGCTGGAGCAGCAAAATCAACCCAGAAGCTAAATGCAGGGCAAACTGTTCAACTAGAAGTGCCAGTCAAAACTGCCGTTTACCTTAATGCTAGCGCTGGGATTCAAGTGACTTACTATTGCACCGGTTGGTTTAAGTCCTCAATACAGTATGACACCTTCCTGATGACTATACCACCAATAAACAGTTATTGCAATTCCTACTTCATCTATGGTCAACAAGAGTTTGAAAACTACGGAACCTTGGTAGCCAAGACGGCTGACCTCTCTAAAGTAAGCTTCAATAAAAGTGCTACTCAAGACCTGACTTGGAACAGCATCCGTGATACTGATTATTCATGGGCATTTCGACAATTGGGCAAAGGTTTCAGTGTGTATCTTGCTGAGAACACCTCTCCATTCCTGCTGCTTTCCTTAGGCTTTATCAAAGTTAATAGCTATGGCTCCCCAGCCATGTGCATTAATTGTGAGTTTCCCATTTAACAAGTTAATGCCCTCTTTCCACGAGGTATCTTTGCATATATGATGTAAGACATGTAATTGCAACAGGAATTGCAATGATTACCTTGGGGATGGTGGGAAAAAGAGTTCCATGTCGGGATTTGTTTTTTGTGGCCCCCTGCTGGGAAGACTTTCTCAAATCCGTCCCTTGGCTACTTGTGCAGAAAATGGGGGTGGGAGCATACTTGGTCATTCTGTCCTGGCCCACACTAAATACATAGGTTTATTATGGTTTGTGTCCATCACTTCCGGTCTGCAGTAGGCACACGGATGGCAAAGAAAGGAGCTTTAGCCAAAACAAAAGGTTTGGCTTTAGGATGGTTAGTGATTGACAGGATAATTAAAGAAAATCTGAAGCTAAAAAGCTTTTGGTGACTGAACACTCAATCGTCAAATTTTGACCAGTTGTTTGGAAATATGTGGCATTTAAAAGACCATTTGGGGAGCAAGTACTTCTGAATTGCTAACTTTTTGAAGATGGCCAGTATAGAAAAAGTTGTCTTGTCTATTACGTGTCTCTTACGTCCGTTCTGTCACTGTACAAGTGTATGAGCACACAATATGGCTACTGAGACATGAATATGGTTTTGTGAGGGTAAGTTTTAATGAATTGGATAGTTGGGTGAATATAACATTTATATATTAAAAAGCCAGTTGCAGAGATTTACGTGCACTAATATTAGGAGTCTTATTTTGTTTTTCCTAACTTGCTTTTTAGATGAATAATCAACGTCAACGCCTGCCTATCAATATTAACAATGGACAGGTCTGGCTCTATCAATCCGGAAGGTCCGTTGTCATTGGAACTGACTTTTCCTTGAAGGTATACTTTGACTGGAACTCGATACTGAAAGTGTACATCTCCAGAAGCTTCTTTGGAAGTGTCTGCGGCTTGTGCAGGAACTACAATGGAAACTCTTCAGATGACCTGATGACACCAGATGGAATTCAGGCTCCTGGTTTGGTTAATTTTGGAAGGGGGTGGAAAGTGGAGGATGGAGATGCGTTCTGCTGGCACAACTGCAGCGGGGAATGTACAACTTGCCCTCTTGGTTCTCAAACCTACACAGGGGAGCAAAGTTGTGGCCTGCTGTCCAAAGTCCTTGATGGTCCCTTTCTTCAGTGCCACTCGGTCATAGACCCAAAACCATATGTAGATAATTGTGTGTATGATCTGTGCATGAATGCTGGCTCCAAACAGATACTGTGCCAAAGTCTGAAGACCTATGCAGAAGCCTGCCAGCAAAGAAAGGTTGAAATCAGAGAATGGAGATCACTCGCTGGATGCCGTAAGTAGATCATACTTTATTATCTGCCAATACAGTACAGTACTTGCTTTTGTGTACTTGGCGCACAAAAAGTTTGTGTGAATCCTTCTTTTTGGGGGATTGATGGTGACTTTTTTTTTTTTTTTTTTCAATTTCCAAGCATTGACTTCTGTGGTTCAATTAAAAAAACATCCTAATTTGGTTGCTTGTCCAAACAAGTTTAAAATGATGCAAAACTGTCCTGTTTCCTTCATTTATGATGCTAGTACATCTGAAAACTTTCTTTCTGTAGTAGGGAGAAACTGTAAGCGGTTATGTCAGATTTTCATTGCTCTGTCCCTGCTGGCAAGACTTGCCTTTGCTTTGACTCGCATAATGGGAGAAGTAAGGGCAAATTTACCCCTTTAGATCGATACATGAGTTCCTATCGGAAGATTCCACTTGCATTCTGGAACAACTGTTAATGCAGAGAAATTTCCTCAATGGGTTTGGACCACCATTTACTTGACTTTACATGACCGTTTCTATCCCTTCTCTGCTCTAAACAAAAGTAAAACTGCAGTTGGCCCCCCTAAGATTTGCCCCTAAAGTGTTTTGGGGCCAAAATGCATGTTTAATGTGAATTAATCCACTCAAGCTCTCTCACCCAAGTCCACTGTCGCTCTCTGGCACTGCTTCAATGAGTACCTGCCACCAGAGAGGACCCACGCTACTGGACAGCTAATAAGGGCTGTTTACATCACTCAGGCAATGAAGTGGACACTTGGTGACCATGGCTTTAAGTGAGTAAGTCTTTTTAGATTTTAATTTTCACTTTAGGAGTTGAGTTTAATCCTTTGCAAATTTGCAGTGTTAAACATTTGCTGGTGTTCTGCCATAAAGATCCTTTTTCAGCCTTTCCTATTATGTGGGGTCAATGTTCTGTACCTGTCTCTCTATTGTAACAGGATGCCAATGCAAGGGTCCTTGGTAGGAGACAAGTGACTCTACTGCCACACTGCATAGGCATAGCCACTGGTGTTTCTATTGAAGCTGCAGTGATGTATAACAAATACTGGAGGGAGTGCAGGTAGTCAGGAAGAGCCTAAAAAGTAGAAGGAGATTAACAGCAGTGGAATAGGTGTGATGCAGTGCTTTCTGTCCTCTACTTTAATCTGTTGGTGCTAGATCAGATTATGCAAGAGATACTTGGTGTAGAAATTATTAGGAATGGAACAGGAAGAATTAAATACCATGGTTTAAAAGTTCCATAACTGATGCAAGCATACATGTAATGACATGCCTATATTCTGTTTCCTACAGCAATGCAATGTCCTTCAAATAGTGGATACAAATTATGCTCCAAAGCATGTCCGGCTACATGCAATGATGACGCTACTGCATCCGTGTGTTCTGAATCATGTGTAGAATCCTGCCAGTGTGTGGAAGGCTTTGTGCTTGATGGAGGGGAGTGTGTATCCAAAGACAGCTGTGGCTGCATCTATCAAGGAAAACTCTATGCTCCCAATGAGAGTTTCTGGGGTGATAAAAAGTGTGAGCAGCAGTGCACCTGCAACCCCGCCAACAAGAAAGTAGAATGTAAGGCTACCAGCTGCAAGTCTTCAGAGACCTGTTCAGTGGTGAACGGTATCCAAAATTGTTACCCTGTTTCTTATGGCACTTGCTCTGCCTCTGGAGACCCCCACTACATCACCTTTGATGGGTTAAAGTATGACTTCCAGAGCGCGTGCATCTACCAGCTTGTGGGAATTTGCAATATGTCTGCTGATTTGGTGAACTTCCAGGTCAATGTTCAGAATGAATTCCGGGGAAGGAAGGTTGTGTCTTACACCTCTGCCGTACAAGTCAAGCTGTATGATTTCGATTTTGCAATCAAAAGGCAGTACAAGAACCAGATTCTGGTGAGCATTCAGCTTTACAAATTTCTAGACAATTGTGAGCAATAATTGTATGCTGTAAGCCAATGTGGGTTTTATTCAAGTTGAATTCCAGGAGGACTGCTAAATATACATATAAAAAAGACCTTTGCATGCCAAAGCATTTTATACATATTGCTAACCTAGCTTTGCAATCCAAGTAGCCTTGCCAGATGGAACATTCTGGTAGCTTCCTGCAGAGTGCAGTGAAGCAATAAAGCTTGGTCAAGGACCCCTCCCAACCTGTAATTGCATTGTAAAGGGGCAGCAATACATTCAGAGATCTGTGCTCTCTCCTCCTGAAAGCTTGTTCATTGTGTTGAACTCTCAGCACTGTGCAAAGCAATAGAGCACTCACCGACTTGTAGTTCTTACCATGCCCAAGGATATTTATAGGAGGATGATCTAAAATGCATTTGAGTACATCTTTGTGTTATGTGTTAGCTACACTTCATTATTTAATCAATTGCATGGATTAGATTTTGTATATACCTGGCCTCAGCTTGTGAATAAGGTGGCCAACCACTTTGAAGCTAGATTTTGTGATTTGTTGCCTGCAACTCACTGTCACCATTTTGGTCTATAGATTAATGGACTTTTATCCCATCTGCCATATGTTATTGACAACGGCAAGCTCTCTATATACAAACAAGGATATTCTGCAGTCCTTCAAACAAGCTTTGGCCTCCGTGTGATTTACAATTGGGACAGTTATGCTTCTGTCACTCTTCCAAGCAGCTATTCTGGAGCAGTGTGCGGCCTTTGTGGTAACTTTGATGGTAAGAAGAACAATGATTTGATGACTAAAGACAACCAGCTGGCCTCCAAGCCAGTCCTTTTTGGAAATAGTTGGAAGGTACAGAATGTTTCAGGTTGCTATGAAGAGGACAAAGGAACCTGCCCCATATTGGCTGAACTGGAACTACGCTATAATAACGGCAAGGAGGGCTGTGGAATAATCCGACATGAGATTGGGCCTTTCCGTGAATGCCATTCCAAGATTAACCCAGATGACTACTACAAGAGCTGTGTGTATGATGTGTGCTTCTATGAAAACAGAGAAGATGTCATTTGCAACATGATTGCCAGCTATGCAACACAGTACCAGGAGGCTGGAGTTACCATCTACCCATGGAGAACCAACAAGTTCTGTAGTAAGTTGGCCTGTAATGTGAAGACTGTTCAATGTGTTCTGGGTTTTTCTCCATCCAAAACACCAATGATGGGAATACAAACTATTGGCAAGCAATAAGTCCACTTTTCAGTGAATTGCCCTAAAAAAATGCTCTGGCAAGGTCTACATGCACTGTACTGCTATTGAGTCAATAAACGTATTTGGAGGTGGTTTAACTTTGAGAACCATTTAACATAAATGACTCTTCATGCATGTCGAAAAATCAGTTTTCCTTCCCGTAAAGTTGGATACACTGAATTGCTCAAAGTTGGTGACTACATATGTGGCCATATTTTTTAGCTCTCATGGGACTGGGCTTTCCACTCTGAGCATGTAACAGTTAAGTGGGACTTTTTTAAAAGACTCCTATATATGGGATTCAAATTAACTTGACTCCTGGCAACTTGTGGTCCAAATTGTGGTATACACAGACCTCTCTATAATGAGTCCTTAAGTATAATGTAATATGCTATAGAAACAGGTGGCAAGGTCTCCAAATGGTTTCAAGCATTTCCAGCGAAGGGTACTATGCTATAGAATCTTAAAATTGTGCACTTGTAGCTGCCATTTAGGGAAGGCCCTTTTTCTGTTCCGGTGTGGCTGTGCTCCTGTGCAAAAGCTAGCTCCAAAAAAAAACATCTCGCCACTTGATGTGAAGGAACTTGTGTGGCTAAAGCAGAGTGAAGCCTTTTAAAGCCCCGAGGAGGGGTGGGGGAAATCTCCTCCATTGACTGCCAATTTTAAAATGGTATATCCAACATGCTCACACAGATGTGATGGTCAGCTGTCTAAAAGCTTTGTGGTATTCTAGATCTTTAACAGATTTGTCTCTTTGTTCTAGGTCCGGTATGTCCAAAGAACAGCCACTATAATGTATGTACATCAGGTTGTGCTCCAACTTGCCACTCTCTCTACTCCATTAGGCTGCAACCCTGTATGTTCTGAAGGATGTCCATGCAATGATGGCTTTATTCTTAGCGGTGGAGATTGTGCTCCCATTTCTAAATGTGGTTGCAGGTACAATGATGGATACTACAAATTGGGTGAAGTATTTTACCCCAGCAGCTCTTGCAGCCAGAAGTGCATCTGTACAGAGAGTGGAGCTGTAGAGTGCAAGGCTTTCACTTGTGGGGCTTATGAAGAGTGCAAAGTGATTGATGGCGTCCGGAGGTGCCAGCCAGTGGGCTCGGCGCAGTGCTTTGCAGCTGGTGACCCCCACTACATGTCGTTTGATGGCCGGGCATTTGACTTCCAAGGCACTTGTACCTACACCTTGTCCAAGACTGTGATCTACAATGACAATCTGGTACCCTTTGCTATCAATGTGAAAAATGGGGCAATGGGAGTGCGGCAGTCACAGAACTAGTATCTTTTGAAGTCTATGGCTATAACCTTATTCTTCAGTATAATGTTCGTGGTTCGGATTATGGTAAGTCACAGCAAACCATTCAACAGCTTTCTAAACTTAAGCATATTTCTACCTAGTAATACTACTTCTGTACTAGGGTGATTTGCAATTCACTCACTCTACTGCATCTACCCAAGACAGGGAGATTAGGACTACACAACCTCTTTCCTTAATCTACAATATGGGCTGCATAATCTGTATTTCAGGACAGATGACTAGGAAAGCAATTCACTTTGTTTTTTTGGTTTTTGGTTTTTTTTTAGTTTAGTGCACAGTAAGTTACTATCTGAGGAAATATTGGCAGGATCAACAAGTAACAGATGTGCCTAGAAAGGTTCCAAGACACGTGTTTCCTTTATAACAAGCCATGATTAAGAAAATGCAAAAAGGCTGTTGCCTATAAATGTTAGCTTGTATATCCATAGACAACACAATGAAACTATTAAAATGTGTATGTAATCTGTATAGATCAATAGGACATAATGTTTCTCTTGTAGATCAATGGGGTGTATAACAATATCCCAGCAAGTTTGGAAGATTGCAAAATCCAGGTCTACCAAAAGGGTAAAGAGTAGTCATCGACACAGACTTTGGGGTTCAGGTCAACTATGACCTTGTTTACCATTTAATAGTCACTGCCCCAGGAAACTACAAAAATCAGTTGGGTGGCTTGTGTGGTAACTACAATGGTAACAGACAAGATGACTTCCAGCTTCCGGATAAGACTGTGACCACAGATCCTACTAAATTCGGAGCCTCTTGGAAGGTCCAGATCCCTGGTGTGGTTTGTGATGGCTGTGGTGGTAGTGGAAACCCATGCCCATCCTGTGACAATGGGAAAAAAGAGCTCCTCAAGATGGACAACTATTGTGGCTTCCTGAAAAAGATCGGGGGTCCTATGAGTGCTTGCTATGGTACAATCAGTCCTGATACTTCAACAACTGTGTCTATGACCTGTGTGCTGGTGTAGGCGACGGAGACATACTTTGCCAGAACATTCACAGTTATGTTGCTGCATGCCAAGCAGCTGGGGTCACCATTCAGCCCTGGAGAACTGATGCATTTTGCCGTAAGTTTAAAATTGTTCCTGAGCTTCATTATGCATTGGCATGGCTTAAGTAATTAAAACTACATTGTCCACTGAATTGGGGGGGGGCGGGGGAATCAATGTTCACCATCTTATTTTTTGTTTGTTTCTCAGCAATGACCTGCCCAGCCAACAGTAAATACAAAGTGTGTGCTGCGTGCCCCTCAACTTGTGCTAGTGTTACTGAGCCTGCTGAATGCCCCACCACTTGTTCTGAAGGCTGTGAATGCAATGAGAACTTCTTCTTTGATGGGAAGAACTGTGTGTCAATTGACAACTGTGGCTGCTTTGAAGATGGAAAATATTATCAGGTAGGCACTTTTAAGGTTCTGGCATTTTTTTATGTGGGGTGTTTTTTTTTTTTGGTGTCATTCTCATGGAAAATGTTGTGAAGGCATTATAAGAGAACTAAATTATAAAACCTACCTCGCCTCCACAGCCAAAGGAGAAAATCCTTTCCAGTGACTGCAAACTTGCACATGTACCCCGGTGGGTGGGTTATTCTGCGAAGACACTGCCTGCGCAGCTGATGAAGAATGTAAGATTCAAGATGGAGCCGTCAAATGTCTTAACAAAGGTAATGTCCTTAAGAACCGTACAAAAAAGCCATAGCTCCCACAGTTTATAATGGAGATGTCAATCAAGTCCTCCAAACGATTCCCTGATTTATCTGCACTTGGAAGTGGTGCCTAGTTTTATGCATTACTTCAACCTACAAATCTGAACTATTGTGTTTAAAAAAAATTGGACTTTTTTTACTATTGTGTGAAACATCTCTAATTGTCATTTATTTCAGATCCTTGCATGTCCATGAAGTGTAGGGTCAAGGAAACCTGCAAGATCCAAAATGAAAATGCAGTATGTGTCCCGGATTTCGCAGGAATCTGCTGGGCCTGGGGAGACCCCCATTACCATACTTTTGATGGCTACGACTATGACTTCCAGGGCACCTGCACATATTTCCAGGGCACCTGCACATATATCCTATCTAAATATGATGGTGTTGTTGGCTTGGTGCCATTCACTATTGAGGAGAAGAATGACAACAAAGGTAGTCAGGCTGTGTCCTATGTTAGGACCATCTCAATCTATATGTATGGCTACAAGATCACCCTTATGAGAAGAGAATTTGGTAAAGTTAGGGTAAGTAGTTCAAAGGCTCTTAAATTTTGTTTGAAATTTTAAAACTTTTTAATGCAATTTCCTTAATGTACAGTTACGTTGCTTTCAACTGGACTTGATGACCACTCTAGCACTCATTTCAAAATGCATCCCAGTTCATAAGTATTCTGAACAAACCCCAACTTGGTCACCTTGAAATGTGTTAGGGCCTTGGTTCTCAACTGGTGGGTCGCGACCCCCATGTTCAGTGGGTTGCTACGTCTTCCACTTTTTTAGGTGAGAGGCTCCTCAGCCTCCCCCTAGTTCAGCACTCAGTTCTTGCACAAAGCAACCATTCAAAATATGCTGGCGTGTCAGCTTCAGGTGGGATGGGGCTATGGCCATGAGAGCTCAATCCATACGTGCATTGCTTACAGCTTGCTCATGTGTCCTGTAGAGGTACCTGGACCGAAGTGACATCAAATTTAGGCTCCCGGCACCTATACAGGGTGCATATGGATGGAGCTTCATCACGGCAGCCCAAACTGTACCCCAGGCTGAGGATCCACTCCAGTTCTTGTAAGGTAGGGAGACTGGGTGCACCTACCATGTGTTCTGGTGCCAATTTTAATGGCACCCCCAAATGCACCTCTTGCCTGCACTGGAATGCATGGTACCACAGTGCTGTGCATTCCATCACAGTGCAACTTTGTCACAACATAATGACCAAGGATGAAAATTTAATGTGAAGTATATCGCCAGTTAGTAAAAGGAACCCCAAACATTTTTATCAATACATAAACAGTAAAATGGGGAGAAAGGAACAGATAGGCCCAATAAAGGAAAAAAGTGGAAGGTTAGTCACAAACGGCAGGGAGAGGGCCGAGGCGCTAAATACTTTTTCTCGTCGGTATTCACCAAGGAAACAGACGAATTTAATGTCGGTTTAGTCAGAGCGATCAAGGTCTGGAACTCGCTGCCGCAGGAAGTGATCTCAGCTAAGAGTGTGGAATCATTCAAGAAGCTCCTGGATGATTTCCTTTGAGACCATAACATACAGGGGTATAGGTACTCCTAAGAGCAAAATCACACATGGACTCGTATACAATCATGCACACACCTCCTCAAACATAAATGCATACACAATAGATTGGACTTGATGGACTTATGTCTTCAACCTCCAATACTATAACTATGAATGTGGGTCCTGAGGTAACACAGGTTGGTAACCACTGTTAGGGCAAATGTTCAGAACTGTCCAAAGAAACCTGGCCAGATAACTGACATAATCCATAATTTATCATCCAAATTTGATCTACAACCTCATCTTATTCTATGCTCTAACTAAACAGGTGAATGATGTCATCGCTAATCTTCCAGTGACTTTGTTAGATGGAAAGATCTCAGTAAGCATCAGTGGCTTAAATGCAGTTGTTCGTACAGATTTTGGTCTACAAGTGACCTATGAATATAACAGCCATGTTGTGGTCACCCTCCCCAGCAGCTATATGGCCTTACACGTGGGCTATGTGGTAACTTTAACGAAAATGCCAAGGATGAGCTCATCACCTCTGATTACAAAGCAGTCACCTCCATCATTGACTGGGCCAAGAGTTGGAAAGTCACCGACCGTGATCCCTTCTGCTTTGACCATTGCCCTGGACTTAACTGCCCAACCTGTGACGATGCAAAAAAGAATCTGTACAGAGGTGACAAACGTGGTCTCATCAAAGTTGCAAATGGGTTTTTCAGGGAGTGTTACCCAAAAGTTAACCCCGACAACTTCTTTGATGGTTGCTTGTATGATGTCTGCATTAATGATGGAGCAAACCAATTCCTGTGCCAGGCCTTCAATGCCTATTCAAACACCTGCAGGAAACAAGGAGTTAAAGTATATGACTGGAGAACACCAGCTGGTTGTGGTGAGTATTTATAATCTTAAATGCAACATTCTAAATTGTGGTTTTTGGTGTTGCAATATTGGACTTGGCAAACGGATCTGGTAAACAGGGGGCCTAACAACAGAGCATGGGAGGGGGTGCGCCCATAGCAAAAGTTGAATAGGGCCCACTGGCAAACCCTTCAAATCTAAATCCAGGACAGGTAGCAGGAGAGCTGTCTGCAGTCTCTTCCTGTACATCTGATATCAACTCTTCTTGATTGGCAATATCATAAGGCATATAGGGTTAACAGCAACTTCAACAATCCTTAATGGGGGCACCCTTCCACTCCCAGGCCCCATAGCAGCCGCATGGACTGCTATGGCTATTATGCCCCTGCTTGTAAAAGGGCCCTGAAGGAGTTGACAATTTTAATTGCAGTAACCATGTTGCTGCACATCATGTGGCTTAGTGCAATGTAGCACCATTTATTCTGAATGGCACTCAAAAGGCCCCTTTCCAGCAGCCTTCCAGTGGTGGTGTGCTCTCAAAAATGGGGCATGCACAATCTTTCGTGCATTGGCAGCCCATTTGTTTTAAATTGGCTTCCCTAATGCAACCCATTTTAACGCACCAGGGATTTAAATGGAGCTTCAGTGTGATGCCCTGCATAAATGTATTGATGGATATGGGGCCTAATGATAAATGGGTGTATATCCCTGGCCACTATTCGATTTGGCAATATGGCTGTGCTGCATGGGAAAACTAGCAAGTTGCTGGGTGGGCTCCTGTAGAAGTTAATGGTGGGGGGACCCCTTACCACTGTGTGTCCCTACAGCTGAAAAGGGTTACCCAAATCCAAATATTGGGGAGAATGTTATCGCATACTCTAGCATTAAGTTTGCTCGTATGTGTTTTAAAAAAATAATTTCTTTTTTTTTTCCTTACCCTTTCAGGTCTACAATGTCCCACAAACAGTCATTATGAGTTCTGTGGTAATGCCTGTCCAGCCACATGCACGGATCGTACTGCCCATCCCAGTGCACTGAAGATTGCGTGGAGACCTGTCAGTGTAACAATGGTTTTGTTCTTAGTGGTGACAAGTGTGTTAGTACTTCGAGTTGTGGATGCTCCTACAATGAGATCTACTACCAGGCCAATGAAGAGTTTTGGGCTGACGAAAACTGCTGTGTGCTCTGCAAGTGCGACCCAACCGTTGGCATGGTGGTTTGCAAGGAGAGCAGCTGTAAGCCAAGTGAGCGGTGCATGGTTACAAATGGAGTCCATGGCTGTCAACTCTTAAGCTTTTCCACTTGCACAGGTTCTGGAGATCCTCACTACACAACCTTTGATGGCAAGAGATTTAACTTCATGGGTACCTGTATATACCAATTGGTTGCTGTGACCTCCAGTAGCCCTTCACTGACCCGTTTTAATGTTAAAGTCCAGAACCTCAATCGAGGTGGAAACAAAGCTGTGTCCTATACTAAAGTGGTGACCTTGGAAGTTTATGACACCATCTTCACACTGAGCATGGACTATCCACGTCGTATTTTGGTATGTATCTGTTTCAATGAATGAATCTTGGATGGAGGAAAGCTTGATGGATGTATGGAGGTTGGATGGATGATTGACAGAAGGGATCTATACAAAGATTACTTATTCAACGTCTCTTGTTTTTAGGTTAATGGCGTTGTCACCTCTCTGCCGTTCTACCTCAAACCAACAAAGTGGTGGCATACATCAATGGCAGACAGGGAATTTTAAAAACAGATTTTTATGTCACAGTTGCATATGACTGGGACAGCTATGCGGCAGTCACCATACCTAGCACTTATACCAATGCTGTTGAAGGCTTGTGTGGCAACAACAACAAGAACCCCAACGATGACTTTAACATGAAGGATGGAAAACCAGCAGCAAATGCAGTTGCTTTTGGTAACGGCTGGAAAGTCGGTGAAGTTGCTGGTTGTAGCCCTGATTGTATCAGTGACTCTCCTATGTGTACAGAAGCTCAGAATCAAGCCTACAAGGGTGATGATTACTGTGGACTGATCAAGTCCAATGGGCCTTTTGCTCTGTGTCGCTCAGTCGTTGACCCAACACCTTATTTCAACGACTGTATTTTTGATACTTGCCAATACAAGGGACACCCGTCTTCATTCTGCAAAGCCATTGGCCTTTATGTGGCCGCATGCCAAGCTGCTGATGTCAAACTTCAGGAATGGAGGAAACCAACTTTTCTGCAGTAAGTCATTGAATAGAATACAATTGAACATTTTAACTCCTTTTTTTTTGGGTGAAATTGTAGTGGAATTCTACCATTTTGGCAAAGTGCAAAGGCTTAAGGGTTTTTTGGCAAACAAAATAACTTGTTATACACTAAACCTTTCAAACAAGCGCAAATCATTTTGTCCCTAGGCAGACTAAGATGAAGCTTCAGCCAAACAGGAATTCACAGAGAAGGGAACAAACTGGTCCTCCACTTGAACCATTTCATGGAAAGTTTTGTGCAGCAAGATATATGGTTTGGGCCCACATTTTTTGTTAATGTTGGCGGTAACAGGTCAGTGGCACTCAAAGCTTCAGCAGGTTTTGCGGTCGTACCTGGAGTAGTAACTGTCCTTGTGAAAGAACTACAGAGTACTGATAACATGTAATGGGTTTTCTGGGTGCTTTGGTTGAACTCATCTGGTAAACTTCTGTTTTTTGTTTTGTTTTTTGTTTCTTAGGTTTGTCCTGCCCTGTAAACACTCACTATGAACTGTGTGGAAATGCCTGCCCAGTCACATGTTACGAGCTCTCTTCGCCCACCAGCTGTGACTCTCCTTGTCAGGAAGCCTGTTATTGTGACAACGGGTTTGTTCTGAGTGGTCACAAGTGCATGCCCATCCGTGACTGTGGTTGTGTCTATCAAGATAAGTATTACCAGGCAAATGAGTTCTTCTACCCACAGGAAGAGTGCAACCAGAGGTGCCAGTGTGGGACCAATGGCATTGTTGTTTGTCAGTCACATGCTTGCAAACCCGAAGAAGAGTGCAAACTTGTCAATGGCACTTTGGAATGCCAACCCAAGGAGTACGGCAGATGTGTTGCCTCAGGAGATCCACATTATATCACCTTTGATGGTCTGAAGTTTGACTTCCGAGGTGCTTGCATGTACAGTTTTGCTACAGTGGTGGCTGATGATCCCACACTAGTTAACTTTTCTGTGGTCATGGAGAAGGAGAGCTGTGGCAAGACTGGTGGTATATGTGTATGGTTACACAGTGACCATCATGCAGGACATGAGATCTAAAGTAAAGGTAAGTGTTGTCCTTTTTCTGCCCACAACAAACTTGTCTTATACATGCCAATTTTAAAGTAACTCCTTCCTGTTGCCTGGCTAACTCTCTAGCCACATTTTGTCTGAGGCAGTGTAGAGAAGGACTTGTGACTTTACTCTGATCTTTCAGTCTTGTGTGCTTGTCCTAGCTGATACTGAAGCCACTGGGTCAACATAACAGCCAGGCAGCTATCTTTATTTAAGAATGAACTAGGTGGTGGCAGTCCCTATATTTCACCAAACGTTAAGGCTTGTCAACTACTATGTAATGCTGCATGTCAAGAATGGCTCCTTAATTTTGGTTTCTAGGGAATGTTGAGCGTCCTTTGTTGAAGGATCAATTAGGCTTTCCCTTGCTCTTAATACAATTCTTAGGTGTTATTCACTAAAGGGTGAAGAGTTTGGAGAAGTGAACAATCTAGGACAACAACATGGCTGAACTGGAAAGTGAGCTGAATTGTAGAATTTTTTTTTTTTTTTAAATCAGCTACTTTGGCCTAGATTGTTCACTTTTCCTGCCTGCTCAACTCTTCACCCTTTTGTGAATAACCCCATTAGACTTAATTGCGAACACAAGTTCAAAGGTTAAATTTACTGAGACCTTTTCCTTTTTACAGATTAATGAAGAGTTTGTCAAATTTCCATTTCATCTTGAAGATAACAGTATTGTTAATCAAGAAGGAGCCAACGTTGTCCTGCAAACAGACTTTGGCTTGAAGATTCTCTATGACACAATCTATCATGTGATCCTCAATATTCCCAGCTCGTACCGTGGCAAGATGGGTGGCCTCTGTGGCAACTTCAATGGTGATGATAAAGACGAGTTACAGCTTCCCAACGGGCAGGTTGTTAATGTGGATGAGTTTGGTGCTTTCTGGAAAGTGAACATCACTGATACCAAGTGCAGTGAAGAAGGCATGTGTCCAGTGTGCGAAGCTGCCAACCTGCAGCAGTACAATGCAATATCCTCTTGTGGCATGATTACTGACCCAGCTGGACCCTTCAGTGCTTGTCATGCAAATATCAACCCAAATGACTATTTCAACCCTTGCATCTATGACTCTTGTGCTGTTGACGGCAAGGATAATTTGTGCAACAATCTACAGGCTTACACAGCTGCTTGTCAAGCCGTTGGCGTTGCCATCATCCCTTGGAGAACTCCTGTGTTCTGTCGTAAGTATGTCAAGCAAAAATAAAAAATTTGGGGGTCCAAAGTTTAGTAGGTCCCAACGGAGGGTTTACATGTCCTACTGAAACTCCAACCCATTTTAATTGGTGGCCACTTGGTTGGTACAAAATTAAAATCTATAACTACCTGCCCAAATCATAGGCAATCAGAAACTAACTTGCTTGTGTCTTTGCAGCCATGTCCTGTCCAGCCAACAGCCATTATGACCTTTGTACCAGGACATGTGAGCGAACTTGCTTTGGTCTCTCTGCTCCAACAAAATGTACAGATGGATGCTTTGAAGGCTGTGAATGTGATGCTGGATATGCCTTGGATGGTGATACCTGTGTTGCTTTGAGCAGTTGTGGATGTGTATTCAACGGAAGATACTTAAGTGTAAGTCCTAGACCAACTTTTTTGTTTGGGGGGGTGGCAGTAACTTACATGGAAGCTGGAGCGGTTTACTGTTCATCTAACTAGGAGACATGGAGCATGTAGGTGGATTTTGGAGCATGCAGGTGGATTTTCTTTTTTTTTTTTTTTTTTTTTTCCAGCTGGTCTTGCAATTTGAGTCTTGCATGTATGTTCCCTTACACGGTAGCTTAGTTACAATATGCATAGCCAATGTTCACTTTGGTACAACAATAGGGATGAGAGAAATGGGGGGGAAGATTTTTTAACAATCTGGATATCGAAGGTGGCAAACTTCCCTCTCGTAAGGATCCTAACTTGATTTTTTTTTTTTTTTTAGGATGGAGAGTTCTTTGTCAGCCCCGACTGCAGTCAACAATGTAAGTGCCAAGCTGGTGGAGTGACATGCTCAGCCATGTCATGTGGATACAAAGAGCGCTGCAGCCTGGTGAACGGAGTGAGAGGCTGCCACAAGGCAGAGTCTGAATGCTCGCTCAGTCCACTGAAGTTTGTCACGTTTGATGGACTCTCAGGGGGCCCTATTGGAAATGGTGCAGTGGAGGTGACATCTTTGTGCAACAGTAATTCATCCAGATGGTTCAGAGTGCTTGCTGATACTCAGAGCTGTGTGGGAGTACCAGCATCTGTTGCCAGGCTTCATATTTTCCTCCCTCAAGGTCTAGTGACCATCTCCAAGAGCAAGGAAGTTTGGGTAAGTCTTCTGTTTTTTGTGTAGAACAACCTGTTATGCAATTTAAGATCTGGTTTCTGGGGTTTATCAAATGTTATTGATTTGGCTGCAGTTACTATTTAAGCAACCTATGTACAGGGTTGTAGGGTGTTGGCAAGTAGCTGGTGTTTCTATTGTGGGGTGTTGGCAGCTAGAGTTGGATTTCTATTGCAGTGTCCCTAATTAAGGGAGGGTCCCAATTGGGGAGGTCCCCCCCCCCCCCCTTCCTGTTCCTAAAAACACAACTGTATGAGAAAATACCCAAGAATTACCCACTAAAGGTTATGTTGCCAGTGGAGAATTACCCTCATCACCTATTCCTGTGAAATATGGCTCCTGTCCCTTGATTCCTGCAAGGGGACAAAGTAGACTTCCTCAATAGGAAAGAAACTTGGAGGTCATAATCCTTGATTCTTTATCCAAAGATTGCACCAAATGCTGTAATTATAAAGATGCCCAATTTTACAATGCAAATTTTTTTGTAACCCGACGTTTCAAAAAATAAATATAATCCTTAATGCACTTGCTACTAGCTAGTAAAGTTTTTGCATACATGGCACCAATTAGTGGGGTGATTTCTGGTTGGAAGATAGATTTGTTGCCACAAGACATTGAAACGCCTGATCATTTCCTTCATACTCAATAGTCTAGTTGCATACGCGGCTAAAAATGACACGTCCTCTCCTTTCATTTCCTAGGTAAACGGACGTTCAGAATTCCTTCCCATTACAACTGGTATTCTCTCAGCTTCTGCCAAGGACAACCTTATCTCTGTCCATATTGGTGCGGACTTAAAGATTGAGTTAAGCAATGCAGGAAGTGTCTCCATTCATGTGTTAGAGGGCCTGGCAGAGGTGGTGTGCGGAGCGTGTGGAAACTCCAACGGCAACACTTCTGATGACCTCAGATCCCCGGCTGGAGAGGTGGTCGCTAACATTGTGGAACTCCTAAGATCCTGGACAGCCCGTGACTTCAGCAGCTGGTGAGGGAAAATGTAAAATTCTCTGTTGTATAGAAGTTCCCAATTTTTTTTCACATTTGCCAATTTTAAAAGTTTGTAGTACATGTGATCTAAATTCTAAATCACAAGTTCTAGTGTTGATTTGGGTTTTGTGGTTTCCAGTTAACATTTTTATTGACTGTGTTAATGAGTACAAAATGTAGCAAGCATTTGGGTATATTCATCCTACACTGTGTGTATGTAATATCTGCATTGAAAGACCTGGGATTTTAGAATTTCCTCATGGGTGAATCTGGTCTACTGGCCCATCTGACTTGGTCTACACCTCCTAAATGCTAAGTACACAAGTCTTTAAAGCTTGTGCTTTCCCTAATCAAAGACTGGCTGGTACTAGCTGTGGCCAGCTTGACCGTAATCTAGTGAGATGTGTTGTCAATGGATAACATACATACAGAAGCAGGTGCTTTAAAATTGGGATACTTTTTTAAAGTATCTTAAAATATAATTACATATTAACTCTGTATTTTAGGACTGCTCCTTGATTCTTAATCCTTTATGAATTATGGATGGTTTTTGTAAATTCTCTTGTAGTAACACTGGAAACGATGGGACTATGCCTGATGGATTTCCTAATCGACCAACTGATGGGCAAGCGTAAAGAGCTCCAGTGATGCAGTGAAGTCCTCTCCTGCTTTAAATGGAGGATTTTGCTTTAGAAGGAATCTATCTGCAAGATTTTCAACTTGTGTGAACTCTTTGCACTTTATAATTCTTCAGACAAAAAAAAATAAACTTTATACAAAATCTTTGGGTTGCCTTTTTTTCCCCCCCTTGAATCTTGTAGCAGAAATTAAGTGCAGTACCATATTGACATTGGTGGTGTCTGTCTAATCCCCTATACTAGCTAGTGGGAGTCCCACTTTCTAAATCCAATATGAATGCCCCCCCCCCCCCACAACCTCCCTTCCCACTGCCCTTGCAGCTATAATAGTACACAAAACTTTGAGTGTCCGTGGGAATCTGCCCATTTAGCCAAAAGAATATTCAGAAGGTGCTGTGTTGGAGCTTGTCATTCACAGGGACACTGTTCTGGGGGGGGAGGGAGAAGAGACACTGAAAAGGGCCTTGCCCCAAACCTTTTTGCCGAAAGGTTGCAAGAGCATGTTTTGTCTAAAATGTCTTTGTATGCTGTATATTGCTCTTCACTGGAAGCAACCTGGTTACATTGTAAGAAGGTGCTTGTCCGAAAGCCGAACATTTTGCTATTTTCAGAAGATAAATCTATATAATGGTGGGATTCTACCTCTTGTGTATTACCATTTCCTGCAGGAACAGTGTCCTTGGCAAACGCTGACATCATCCTGATTGGGATTTCCCAGCCATATAAGAGAAGGGGCAGGGATAGTGGTGACATCGCTGGCCATATTCTGTGAATGGTGTCACCACTATCCCTGCCCCTTGCCTTCTATTAGATGTCAGCTTGGGGAAACTGCTGTTTGGCAATGGGTGCGGGTGGGTTTTTTCCCCTCGCTGGGGGTAGTTGTGATTGTCATGGATCCCAATGCCCTTGCAGCACCCTCATGCATGTCTGCAAATTTTACCCAGCCCTCCACCAACACTTTGAACTTGTCGTGTCAGTTGTATCCACTTGGGGCTTTCTATATTCACTACTTTTGTTGGCTTCCTAATGTTGCCAACATTACCAGTTGACTTGGACTGTCATCCATCTCTGGCATTCTGCTACAATATCTGTTGGGTGAAAAACTATTAAGCATTGTCAGGTTTTTTAACTGGAATTGGGGACCTTTTCAGGTCCTGATTGTGAATTGTTGCTTTAGTAGTGTTGTAGCAACTGGGCTACTCCTAAACCTGGGATATCCCTCTACCCAGTGAGGGAGCTCGGGAAAGACTGAAGAGAAAAAAGTTTAAGTGTCCCAATCTAGTATGGATTTTTGGAGGGACCACTTTGTGCCATGGTTGAGTAATGCTGGGCTAGACAGCTGGCTCTGGTGCTGCCTTAGCTCAAGGGGCATGACAATACATCAATAACGCTAAAATCTTTCTATTGGCAAAGTTTCTTCATTTGGGCTTTGCAAATGAGCTGTTCATACCATCTGGTTTCTTGTTTTGTGTGCCCCCTTCGTCTGGCACATCAACAGTTATGTTGGTGAAATGTCTTGCCATAAAATCAGATTTTGCCACTGGCAAAAATTCTCAATTTTGCTAACTGGGTTATTTTCTTTTACAGTTGGGCTTTTTGGGTGCCTGATAATGGGTACCTGTAAATTAAATCAGGATGTAGGGCTGTTGTTTGGGCTCAAGAACAGGCTCTGCTAGTTTGAAAGGAGCTTCTGTAAATTTCAGGAGACATATTTGAAGCCGAAGAGTCATTTTCTTATACAAAATAAAACTGGTTTTATTTTCAATCCTCTTTAATAAAAATCATTTATGTTTTAGGCAATCCACTGAGCACCTCCAGATTTCAGTAAGCAGAATACAAATTTCAGTTTGATTTGATGAAAGTCAGAGCTGATAGATACAGGCAGGCGTTTGAGGAATCCGTCCCAACTGTTCAAGAATGCAATTCTCATGGGCCGCTGTGAAAATATCAAAGGGATGAAGTGAAAATAAATTGGTCAAATATTAGGGGAAATGTAGAAACAATTTGGCATCAGGTCTCACAAATAGCCCTTTTCACAGGTAAAGGTGCCCATACGCCTTACGATAATCGTATGCGATTGACTTTTCGTACGACAATCGAATCGTAACATGTGAATAGAGTGCCTGACCGCTAGTACTGTACAATCATACGACTTTTGACGGTCAAGCATATTTGAAACCGTTGCTCGATCGTACGATGTTCGTATGGTTGGTGGCATTTCCGTCCGTCAAAAGTCGTACGATAACACTGCGCAAACAAAAATAATTGTGGTTAATTACCGCAAGTCGTCCTGGTTTATTTATTTTTTTTTAAACTACCGCTGATTGAACCTTGCGATAATCGGGGCAGGATGGGGCAGTCGTATGAAAATCCTACGACGGTTTGATCATCGGACGGAAACGTTTCGTCCAATCGTAAGGTGTATGGGCACCTTAAGGCCTCCAGCTATGTATCTCTGTGCACCATAATGGTGGCCAAGGTTGTTGTGCTGTCCTTGACTTCCTGTTGTGTAGGAACACACAAGGAAGTGAAGATTTTTCTTCAATTCCACTTTTTTTTTTAAAAAAGTTGTCACCAAATCGTGTTCTCATTAGAACTACTCTCTCCTTGACCTATGACCATCAGGGCAAATAAAGAGGGTAAACCTCCCCAGCTGCCATTAATGTTACAGGGGTTCTAAAACCTCCCCACTCAAAATGATATAGCTTTTTGCATCGGATACCTTTTTTTTACTAAAACACTAATGCATTGGCACAGAAAAATGACTAGGTGTGAATGAGACCAGTTCACCCTGCAATGGAGGCTCCGTTGACTTGCGCTTTCCTTCTGCATTTATTGCTAACGGGCCCTTAAGCACTATATACCTGAACAATGATGTTCCTTATTCTGTGTGTTATAGCACATAAAACCATGAAATGCAGGAGAAAATTGGTTCCTTGTGAGCACAGGATGGGGCATTTTCTACTTTATTCAGTGTGTGGTTTACAATCCAAATAAGTATAATAAAAGGTTCTTACCACCTGGCGAAGTCTACGGCTCTCACAGATGCCAGAAATTCAGTGAAGCTTGCAAGAGACTTTCCTTCGGCATCTCTCAGGTCATCCGACTCATCCCTGTTGAAGTTTCCGCAAGCCCCGCAGAGGCTCCCGAAGAACTTCTGATTGACACTTACAGTCAGACCTTCTGTCTCATTGGCGACGAACTCGAAGTCTTCCCCGCTTTTCAACACTACCCCTCCATGGACTGAATCTACTGTCACTTGGCCGAATGTGTAAGGAAGGTCGACTGGTCTACCGGTTTCCTGTAACAAAAGCCACAAATCCCAGATTATATTTTCCCTCCATTAGATTGATTTCCCCTTCGTTCCTACCAGGGGCATCCCAAGGCGTGGATGGAGGAATCTTCAACTAGGCCAGGCTTCAGTATCTTGCTAGTCTGCCCTGCTGGCTGCCAAAATACCTGAACAATCTGATTGGATGCAGGCATTAAGGTATTTTGAGAGCCAGTGGAGCTGACTAGCAAGATATTGAAGCTTGGGCCAGCTTGAGATTCCTCCATCCACAGTTTAGCATAGATGGAGGAATCTCCATCTGACCATAGAAAATCTGCAGATAATCTATAGAAGCAACGGTTTCAAAGGCAATCGGGAAGCCGGGCGCAGGTCATGAGTCATAGCCCGACTTCCTTAATCGGGGCACAATGCACCGGTACTCGGTATCAACGAGTACCGGGGGGAAAAAAATATTGGTACTCTTGGACAAACTGGTATTGGTGCATCCCTAGTATAAAATACTTTGCCTAGTCTTCCATTTTTAAAGCCAATGTTTGTCACAAGTTAGCAATAACTACCTAAAGAAAGTATTATATATTCATATGCAACCTAAACTACACTGAACTATATATTCATCAAACTGTGGAAAATGCTCTTTTGTATTTATCTATAAAAATTATTAGCTCCCTTGTATGTTATATATCCAAACATCGGCGGAGACCTGACCATCACACCTATAGGAGCTTATTGGACATCCCATTCAAAATTCATGGGAATTAATGTGGAGTTGACCTCCCTTTGCGGCCATTGCATCCTCCACTCCTCTAGGAATGCTTTCAGCAACATCTTGGAGGGTGTCTGTGGGAATCTGTACCCATTTGTGAGGTCAGGCACTGATGTTGGATGAGAAGACTTGTCTTTCAATCACCATTTCAGTGTTCAGTAGGGTTGAGGTCAGGGCCCTGTGCAGGACACTTGAGTTCCTACACACCAAACTGGTCACACCATTTCTTTATGAAGCTTTGTATACAGGGGACAGTCATGGTGCAACAAAAAAGGGCCTTCACCCAACTGGTCACACCATGTCTTTATGGAGCTGGCTTTGTACACAGGAGACAGTCATGATGAAACAGAAAAGGGCCTTCACCAAACTGTTACACGGTTGTAAAGGCACGATAGTCTAAAATGCCTGTGTATGTTGTAGCGTTAACAGCACTCTTTGCTGGAAACACCTGAACTCAATCATTGTGGGGAAGGTCCAAATACTGTACGTATGCATGTAAAATAAAGATGAAATGTGTGTATGTAAAAATATATTTCAAGATGTTTCTCTAATTTATCAGTTTAAAAAGTTTCTTCTTTGCCTAATTCATAAATTGATTTGCATACAAAACTTGTTTTAACTATAGATTAACCACTAGACATGTGCGATTTTGTTTTGTTCCGAATCAAAATTCGTACAAATTTTCCAATCCCAATGCACCCGAATGTGTCTGAATCCGAATTTCCATTTCCGAATTTCAGATCCCGTCCGAATTTAGTTGAAAAAAGAAACTGAATTGGACATGTGACCTTTCTGGCCAATCAGATGTGTTTTTCGGTTTGTTGCATCCGAATGGGTCTGAACACGAATTTTCGTTACGGCAACATGGGAGCCATATACAGTATATACATATAATACTAAAGCTGAGGCTCCCAGACCCGAATGCAATTCGGAAATTCGGAT